CTAGTGGGGCTCAGCAAGACTTAACTGAAGAATAAGTTGCCATGAACAAAAAGAAAAAACCCACACATGTACACACTAAGATATACATAAACGAGAACTGCTACACATCAAGCATGCTTACCCACAAGCGGGCAATGTTAGAAAAATTTACTCATGTTGTTTTATTTTTCCCCCATGGTGCTGGTACAATGAAACAGTAGCATAACTAGAAAGCAGCATGTTTTCCTAGTTCTAACCACTACAGATAGCAGAGCTCAGGTCTAAAATAACACAGTACTGCTTATTTACAATTCTGTTTTAAAAGGGAATATTTAAAACATGTTCCCACCCCTCTCCCTTTGCATCACCTATTACTGAATCGTAGTGGTAATCCACATACAACTCCTTACATGTTTTCAACTGAAACGGTTTAACTTCTAGTTATTATTTGCCTGGTAATATGTAACTTAGGTACTAACAAAATCAAATACAAGTGCCAAAGAAACCTACAACTGTATGACTTAAACATTTCTAGGCGCTTTACATGAAAAACTAAAAGGAATACCGATTGACACCTTTCATTTGATTGTTCAATGTTTGTCTCATTTCTCCCCCCTCCCCTTTTTTTTTTAAATGAACATCCATGTCTTTAAACTTTATAAAGTGTAAAAGAACCCAGAAACACAGTACACTCATCTGGCTTGAAACAGTAGTAAAGTAGATGATATCCAGCACATCTCTGAACATGCAGAAGAAGGAGAAATTGGCCCAGCTTAACTTAGCTTTTCAATGAAAACTGAAATAAAATTGGTTTAGCTGATTCGCCTACACTACACATCTTTTCTGTTTTACTTACTTCCTCCCCTCAAACATTAATTTCTGTCTACAAAGTATTTGAAGATTTTGTGGTAGTAGCAAAGCTATCAACCTCCACCCCAAGAGATTCACCTAGGTTATACAGGAAACTGGCTAGAATGAAGACGAGGTTCAACCAAGGAGTTACCCCGCGACAGGGAGAGGGAGGAGGCGAGGCGCTGCGCACCGCGCCCCCCCGCACTGCGGCTGCTCTCAGTGCCCGCCCGGGTGCGTTAAACCATGAGGAGTAAGAACAGGGCACTTCAGCCACAGGCTCTAAGTTTTCCAATACATGTCCGGTATACAAAAAAAAAACAACCCTGATTTACATGTAAAGAGCTGGTGTATAATCCAGATTCGTACATTACTCAAAGAAAATATTTATTGGATAAACCTCACTTCAATTTTGGGGAGTTTTAAAAGTCCGAGGAACAGAGCTGAAAAAACATCTTTCACATGTATACCTAAAAAAAAATAAAATCATAGAAAAACCAGTCAGCCACAGACTGCAGCTATTAAGAAAACTTTTTCATTCGGTTAGTTTTCTGAATGCACTATCTTCCCCCTCCATACTTAGGGAACTGTTTAAGAATGTTCAAAACAGGAGGTAAAAGTAAGTATGATTATTTTCTGCAAAGCAAAATGGGCTATTTGTTTTCATTGCTTAGTAAATGTATCATCTCGATATGAGATATGAATGTATTCATAAGCTTAAAACAACTTCTTCTATGGATAATATACATACTTTAAGTACTTTGACTTAAAAATTGAACATAAGTCTTTTTAAAATTAAAGGTAGAAGTGTACATATAAAAATTATTTAAAACTAAAAGTATATTCTTAAGCAGTATGTATAAATATAACAGATTTTATTGTATTATCTAGTAACAAATCTGAAAGTGTTGCAGTAATTTATAAACTGAATGCCGACACAGGATAAGTGCCTTTCATTAGATTCTATATTGTATATACTTGTATATACATGTTTTGCTAAGAAAACACACATTCTAAGTGATAGTCACATAATTAGCAAATGTGCCCAAAAGTAAATCTGTTCTAAAGTCTTTATTGAATGTGTGTATTTATATACAAATAATGAACCTGAACTGCACAAATGTCGAAACAAAATTAAGGAATAAAATACCATGATTGAATTAAAGTGCAGGAAAAATTCAAGTTTAAAAGTTCAGGCAAGATCAGTGCCATTAATGAAGCAAAAAAAAAAAAAAAAGGAAAAGAGAGAAGGAAAACAAAAAGGAAAAAAAGGAAATTAACTTGCTTCCAAAAATCCTCCTTTGGATGTAGCTTTCCAACATCACCTGCTATGCAAGTACCACCTCAGGCAAAAATCTTTCCATAAAGACAGACAAGGAACACAGCTATATATTACTATATTTTATAACTGACTGTTTGCTGAAGAACAAATCACTGAGATGCCTGTGGTGTAACACTTTCAGACTTATTTGGAATACACGCGTATTTACACATATCAACATTCAAAAGTTACAATTTGGCAGGACTAAGGTGAAGAAAAGCTTCTTCAGTTTACAGTTCCTAATGAGACACACTACACATAAACAGATAGGTAGCAGCAGTTTCTTACACTTCCATCAAAAAAAATAAAAAATAGCTCAATTTTATTTTATAGTTTTCCAGACACTCTAAAAAAGTTTCACACAACTAAAATGCTAGCGAAAAAACCGGGGTGTTTCCCCCCAAAGATTTCAATATACTTTGCTGTACAAAAGGTGCCCCACCATAGCAGAATAAGATGCAATTACGTGTGTACGATTACCTTCCTTCCACAGAAGGAAAAAAGGAACGTTTTAGACTAAAATTGTACATAGCCCCTTTTATTGACCAAGAACCATTTGCGTATTCATCTCATGAGCATTTCATTAGTTTTCAAATCTAGAAGCCTGCTCTGAACATATGCAACAGAAAAAAAGATTCAACTATGACAAATTCTATAATACCAAGTAAGCCACTACTCTTTTTGTACTGGCAGACGGTCTCTCGTTGCCTCTTATTTTTTTTGCTTGCTCGTGGTTGTCAAATGCTTCTTGATGGGAAAGTTAAGTATGCTTTCCTTTCAAGCCAAGGTCACCTTCCATTGAACTCATACCACAATTTGCTGAAGAGTACTTTTGCCATCCTCTCCCCCAGAACCTGACCAGACTAATTTTCCAGGATTCTGTTGCTCTGAAATATAGTTCATCTTCACCAGGTCAAATAGTAATCAGTCATCTCAATTTATAAATGTGAGACAAGGAAGGGGACAAGTGTCAGCTAGGGTGTTTTATTTTTGGAAATGGTACGGATAGTAGTTTATCTAGTTTTCTTCTACCTGGATTTTTACTAAAGTGGTGTTAATTTAAATATGCATTAACTAGACATTACAAAAAAGAAATTAATTAACATGCAGAGGCAAAAATTGTGTGGTAAGCTGAGTTAAGTAACCAGAGTTAACATTGCCTCAGTAGGTATGGGACAGAGTCATCAAGAAATCATAATGCTGCCTGTTCAAATTGTCACGTTCTCATTAGGTTATTTGAACAGTGGACATGGTATGGCATGCCCTCGTACTGGCAACAGAATTCACTTGTCTTTTTTAATTAGATGTTACTACACATAAAATCAGAAAATTTATCAACTTGTGCTACAAAGCCCAAACATATTTGCTTTTCATTTGAAAAATGAATTAAGAACCATCAGTAACTTCAATATTTGGCATCCTTTAAGTGTTTTGTAAGGTTGCCTTACTTATGTACCTGCAACATCACTTTACAATACAAATATAATCAAGGTTTTGTTTTGGGAACATTCAGAAAGAGTGCAAAAAAACCACGCAGAATGTGATGCTTGGAGAAGCAAACCCAAATGATTAAATTTCAGACAACGTAGACCTATCAGCTTCTAAGTACTCCCTTTTAAAAAACAAAACTAGCCAAAAAACAAAACTAGCCAGTAACGATTCCTGCTTTGAGGGGAAAAAAGTCTAAATAAATTTTTGAAATGTGAATATTTAAGGAACCCTCTCTTTTAAAGAAGAGCTCTGGTCATTTCCACTGTTCTAGCTTTAGTGCAGCAGCCATTAACAAGGTAGCTCAGCTATATTATTTACCTCACCCAAACTGAACACGATCACCAGTTCCTGAAGTTTTAGTGAACACTTACCACTGCCAACATTGAAAACACTGCTTTAGAGACTAAATCCAAAGTTTAGGCCAACTGCCTTTAGTGCTGGGTGGGGCTGAGATAGGTACTTGTAAAATAGCTCTACTAGCAGGGTTTAGAAATTTGCTAAACAATATACTGACGATTATTAAGTATTGGATGCTTGCCATTATTCATGCATCAGCACCTCCATGGAGTGTAAAACTGTTTGAAAACCTGAGTCCAAGATTATCTGATTTCATAGTAAAGGACTAAAGGGGCATCTGGAACTTAAGTTTTGAGCAAAACTATCTCAGCTATTTTAATTAATGGCTGTAAAGATACATTCTGTTAAACATTTATAAAAATTCACATCATGAATGGAACCCACAGCCAATTCTAAATGTTATACAAACTGAACCAATAACTATTTTTGGCAAAAAATAATATTTAACTGAACAGAAGTTAAAGTATTCTTACCACAAAGAAGATGTTGCCACATTTCACATTGCACGGCCATAACAAATGAAAACTCCCAGCATGACACATTCCAGTCATATTATTCACTTGACTTCTTTAATGCAAAAATTGTGTATTCTCTTGTTTTGCACTTCACAGAATATGATGTGAATACAAGAATACTAGATCAGGGGTCCAAGAAAAGACTGTGCACAGGTCAACTATGTATACAATTTTCAACATGAAATCTTCCAAGCTTCCAGCTTTTTCGACGAAAGAAGCAACAGCAAACTTCAACTCTTCTTCAACAATAATGGTAAATACAGTGAAGTCCTAGAGAGGGTAAGGGTAAGTCAGCTACTGTCCAGCAAGACAAACAACTTTATTCCAGCTCTTGGACCCCTGATTTATTGCCTCTCCTCACAGGAGGGTATAACACTGGCAGCAATTACAATAGCACAAAAACTTTTGGCATATGAAATATTAACACAGGATTGACCCTGCATTGCCCCTGCCCATCTCACACTACATTTTCCCTTTACTCTCTTTTCCACATGTTCTAGTTACCTTCTCTGTTCTGACTCTCAGCTAACCAACAGCTAAGAAACACTCAAGTTTGGTTTTTTGTGTGTGTGTTTCTTTTAAATATAAAGCTCCTCAGTTAAAGCCAGGACTGAGGTAAAACAGTGTGTGATTTGTGCTAGGAAACAACCGTATCCAATGGTGAATACTCCTTCAAATTTCAATTGTCCTGCCAAAATTAATGCAAATCCAAGATTTTTCCATCAGGACAAAATTAAACAGATGTAATCGATGAGCGTCATCAGAATTGGTACCACTTCTTGTCTTTGTACTTCAACATCATCTAAAAAACAAAAAAACCCAATTTCTAATTACTGTTTCTATGATGTACCAAAAAGGACAATGATACAAACAAATTATATGCTTACAAAGGAGCATGAGAAAGAGGGACTTTAGTAAGGCTTCTCAAAACTGCAACAACAACATTGCTGAACAGTGAGGGTTTAGCATGACAAATTTTCTAATGGTAGCATCACTGCTGATGATGTGCTGATGCACATTTTTGGGAGAATGGGAAGGTTGCACAAGAGTTCAGGGGACAGAAGAGATCTGCATGAACATGGAAGAGAACAGCCATCCTATGTAGTTACTGAGGAAAAAAATTAGGCTGGATTCATGGGGTTTGCATACAACAACTGGATTTTTCTTAAGAACCACAGGAATCACACAGAGCATTACTCATGCAATTCAGTGACGAATTCTTCAAGTAACAGGAACTGAACTGCACTTTTGGAAGTCTACATGCCACTTGGGCAGAGGGTATGCTCTAGATCAACATGCCATAAGACAAAGCTGCTTACATTAATACTTAATAATTAAGAGCAATGACTGATAGATAAAAGTGAAGTGGCCTTTATCAATGATATTGCATTCCCTTTAGATACCTCTAACATGCCTTTGCAGAAGTCAGTTACTTGCAAAACTTGCATTTATGTGATAGAGAATCAGATTATTGCTCTCAGTTTAACATGCAATGGACTCACCTCATGAGCATGTTTAGAGAAAGAATCAGCACTGTAAAGCATAGCTGCAGTTTTTTCTTCCAGTTCTCCTAGTTTCTGTCCTCTTTCATCTAGTGCCAACCGGGCTCGTGCTAGTTCACCAACTACACCAGATGCTGCTCCTTTGACACCTTCAATACCCCCAGGCCCTGGAATATGCTGGGCAAGACTTCTTGATGCCTTCCCAGATGCTGATTCTCCAACTGGAGGCATTTGCAAAGCAGTAAAAACAGAGTAGTAAGGTTTTCTATCATTATTACATAAATACCAATGTAACTAGTTTATAAAGAGGTGTCATTTCTTTGCATGGACACTGAACACCAAATCATAGGCATGACTACAAGCAATACTCACTACTCAATGTTACTAGATGTTACTATAACAAAATTGAGATTTTTTCAAACGTATTTCAGAGCTTCCAAGCAGGTTATAAAATTACAACCTTCTCACAGCTCAAGTGTGAAATTAAAACTCTCTCAACAGTGCTGCATCAGAGTCATCAGCAGAATTGTGCTGGTGAAGTGGTTTTTAACAATATAGCTTGCTTCACAGGGAAGATGGTCAGAGTTCAGCAGACAAAGCAGGAGAATTTTGAAAACACAAGCTGTGCTCAGTTCTGGAAGTGCTTTGCTGGTGTAGCCAGCCAGTATGACTCCACCAGCACAAGCTTCCTTTGATGGAAGTTCAGTTTTAGATGCAGACACCTGAAGATTAGGTGTCTTTTCTCCCACTACTGTAAAAAAAAAAAGTATGTAAATCATGAAAAGGCAATACAGCTGTAGGAACAAATCAGCTCATCCTAAAGTAAACAACCATGAATGGTCAGCTGAACAGCTCTCTAGACTCCAGTGACCGCACCGACTACATCTCCTTTGCTCATAATGGGACATCCATCTACCTAGTTCAGTCTAAACACTTAACGCATGTGTCAATCTGAATTTTATACTCTATAAAAATTTGAGTGAAGACCAGAACATTTTTGGATGCTGAAGTCAAACCAAATAATCTTTACTTTTTTTTTTTAAACAATTTTTTGTTTTACATGGTTTAAGTATTTTATTTTTTTTTTTTTTTTACCTCTAGGAAAAATAATATTAACTTATTTAACAAGTTTTGTTGCAGTATTTCAAGATTTTCTGATTTGATTTTATGCTTCTAGGAAGAAGAATTTAGATTTCGACTAACACTATAAACATTTTTTGTCTTGAGAATTTATAGGACGAAGAGAAATCATTTCATTTATTACAGATTCTGCTGTGACCCTCATGTTAAATATGACAATTCAAAAGACATCTGAAAACATGTTTAAAATAGTCATTGAACTCACTTTCAGGCTACAACTCATTAGGCTTTTTTCCCCTGTTCATTACTATTTTCCTCTTAAACATCTGAGCCAAACCAGGTCTTTCTATTAAAATCCACAAACAAAGCCTGAGACTGAGTTATAAAAAAAATTGTCATCTCCTTAAAAATAGGTCAGAAGAGTCAGGGGGCAAAATGGTGGAAACTTGAAATGATGTAAACAGATAGCTTCTAAAGTTACAAGTGTGCTTTTCTGTTGCCGTGAAGAGGTAGTTTTCCCCTGTCCCAGTCATACTAATTAAACATATAATTTGTGCACACAAATTTCTCTAATAGAATACCCGACCAACCTTTCAGAATACTACACATATATAAATACAAATGGAATTTTTAACACAGAAAGCGACCTCTGAGTATTTGATATTTATTCAAAATGTACAGGCACAAGTAGTAAAGACTAATTTAATTTTTCCTGAATAGATCAAAAGAACCAAAAAAGAAAGGAGTGCCAGGGAGCCTTGTCTGTTTTAACAGCTACGTTTCATGCTAAAAAGGAAACAGTTCTTCTTACAAATAAACTTGCATAATATGGTGTTTCATCTAGCAAATAACTGAATACGTGGAAGTTATTTTCCTTAAATATATTAAAATGCTGCATGCGACCACAGGAAAAAAATAAAGCTATGATCAAAAACCAATGAGAAAAAAGCAATAAAAATTGCCAAATCTGAATTTTACTGTCCTATGAACATAGGATTGAATTGAACTATCATACAATTCTATCCTTGCTCTCATTCCTAAGGCATCTCTGCACATGTCAAATGAGGAAAAAGAATCTAGCAAATGAACTGAAGTAGAATGGAGTTTTAATTTTCTCACTGTCCAAAATAGTGTTCGTCTGAACCAGCCCCTTTCTGTTTAAAAGCATTAAGAAAATCATGGTGAGTACTATACGCTTCCTAAAGATGAATAAAAATAAGATCAGTTGTCCCATATCTTGTTTTATTATCTGCTCCTGAATAAATGAGGTAAAGAAGCCTGTGAGAAAACATTACCAAGCTTTTCTGATCTTGTTGGTAACATGTACAACAAAAGCTATGATAAAGTAGTTGCCATTCCCTTTTTTACTTTCCTCTTTGCAAATGTAATGTTCTATTAACATAGGTAATAGGATCGCTGGCTTCCTTGAGTAGAAATACCAGAAAAATAACAAATAGTAAAAACTTACAGAGTTCTTCTCTGTCAAGTGACTGTGCCCCACCTCCGAACAGCCCTTTGAAGAACCCCCTGTTTGGTGCTTCTGGTGTTTCTACAGGAGTGAAGAGCTCACCCAACATTTCCTTTGCAATGAAGAAGAGATACAACAAGGCATACGTTATTAACACAAATTAACGGAATATTCTTTCGCTTTTAGGATTTATTTTGTGGATTTGAATTTCCAAGTGAATATGCTTTAATAGGCATCTGCCTTTGCAAGGTGACTTAGGAAATAAAAATAAAAACATATTAGGAAATCTGTCCAAACCATCTGTTCCGATAGTTGGAAGCTTATAGCTCATGAAATTCAGTAGCAAAGAAATGGGTTTGAGTAAAGCTGTATTTGTCCTTCAACAACTTGGGCAACACTCCTGATTCTGTTCTATTAAAACTGTATCTACTAATACTCATATCTGCGCGCAGTATGAACATAGAGCTTACAGCCTGTATCTCTGCTATTTCAGTATTCTATACAGCTTCCACACTGAATCATGGCTGAGAATCTTTTCAAGCCATTAATACCCTTGAAACATAATGGCTTCCTTCAAGTATCCTGAGTTAGCATCCCCTGCTTGTGTCAGCATGCACCGCCACCAGCATCAATTGAACAAGGGAGTTTTGTTAACTGCACATGTTAAATTTCCTACCGATCAAAAAGGAAATTAAGTAAGAAGCTGTTTCAAATACGAGAGGATGGATGAAACAGTAACATTTAAGAGTCGGGGAAGTGATTCATCCTGAATCAGACTCTACAGTGACAAAAAAAAAGTCAAAGTACGAAAGCCAAAGTGCTCAGCTTTATGAGAAACTGAATCACTGTAAGCACTGTGAATCTAGAACCATGAACCTCAGAGCATATCTATGTCAGAAAACAGTCATTTTTTAAAAATTCATTACCTGAAGATTTTCACATGTTTCTTGACTGTAGGTGAGCCTCTGTATTTCAGTTGGTGAGACAAGATAGAGTGCTTGTCCGTTATTGGTGAAGCAGAACGTTCTGGCTATCCGCATATTGGTGAGTGGCAGGTAACATACATCCAACAATGGCCTTAAACTTGGCAAACTTAAAAAGAATTAAAAAAAATTTAATATAGCAGGTTTGTCTGTTATTGATAAAATGGCTCATTTTTAAACTGCAATACATTATTTTTCTCTTCACCATCTGCATAAGTACCACATAAACAGGGTATCATTTAATGCAATTACAAAATCTCAAAACATGAGATTTTTCAAGGTAGCACCTCAAAAGTGAAATTTAACATCTGCATCACAGATGCATTTAAAAGCATCATTTAAATGATACTCTGAGCATGTAAATCACAGACTCACTTAAAGCATTATTCAGTAATTACTAATGAAGTATTCTGATAAGTATCTGCCAAAAGTTTATAATTAAACATCCTGCCTCTTCTCTCAGGTGAGGAATTTCTCCTTGACTAAAAATACAAGTCTAAAAGATCTCTCCTCAAGAACACTTGGAAATACACAGGGGTGTGCTTCCAAAGGAAAACAGAATTCAGTAGCCTCGAACAACAATCTTAGGAATTATGTCCACCTTTTCTGTCTGACTGCATATTTAAGAGGAAGTCCTTTTGGAGTAAAGTTTGCTTACCTTGTATTTTCTGATTCTGCACATGTAACTGCAGTACTTACTGCATCAAGCTACTGAAGAACAGATGCGACACACTCAGGCTGTAACAATGCTCTTGCTACCAAACCTTCCTCTCCCTCAAAGTACCAATAAATGCAAGTAAGAAGTGACTGAACAGCTGATGTCTTGATAAAGAGAACCCAAGCTAAACTGCTGTCTCAAAAACATCCCCTGTGAAATTTTTGTAAAAAACATAATTTACGCAAGATGTTACCTGCAAATGTACCAACAATACATTAAGCAGCTTCTGCTGCAGATACCATCTGCATAATATTATTTCTAGAAACCAGAAAAGCAGTAAAGGGGCAAAGCGAAGCAGAAAGCAATGAAAAAGATGTAGTAACCACAACAGTAAGTGCTGGGGTTTTTTTTTGTATGATACTGAGATTTTGACATGTTAAGCTTGCATTTTACAGATTGTGGATTATCTCCTAGCAGGAGACTTCATATATAACAAAAAAACCCCAAAACTGAGGTAACATGACTTTGGAGGCAAGTTCTACAGGTAAGAAATAAAAAGCAACATTCTCTTGCAAGCGCATCACCCAGAAATGACATTTCTGCCGCGCATGTATCTAAAAAAAGAATATTCCTAAGAGTGAGTAACAAGAAAGCGCTTTGCTTCAGACTGATGGAAGGATAAAACATCCTTACAGCTTCAAGACAAAACACAAAAACATTAGATCAGATAGGACAAGCATGACATCCATGATAGCGTTTTCAGAGTATCAAACAAATCTGTAACAGAATCATAAGTCCTATCTAAACTTATATCAGTAGATAAATATTGGGCATCTTGGGTATGATACAATACTCTGCCAGTTTTACACAAACAGCACGTTAAGTCCACTTCCTAGCAGCAATTTATGCTTATGAAATGGAGTTAATACTTAGGAGTTCAACTGCCCTACACAATGTAACAATTCAGTATTTATAATTTAGCACTTAAGTTCTTTAGAAAACAAAATGAATCCTGAGGAAAACAGAATTTGCTGGAATATATAGTACCTGAACATTATTAAGTTCAGTTTTAATTAGGGAAAAAAAGAGTGCTTGCCCTGCAAAGCAAGCAGCATTTTCTAAAGATGTTTAGAATATATGTTGGGATATAGATCAATGGAGTTAACAGATTTCATCAAAACTTATTTTTTAAGTGTAGTATGCATCAGATCAGCTTTAGTTTTATTCCTAACAACTTCCTGAAGAAGTATCTTTTTAGAGAATTTCCCAAGCTGAGAGCTTGTTTTTGTTTTTGCAACCTTAAAAATAACCTTTTAGGAATTTTACTGGCACCATTTTATAATACCACATTTGTCCTGGCATCAGCCAGGACTAAAATGTAGGTGCAAGAGTGTAGATATATACACACTGCCGTTCAGAACAAAACAGCATTTGGAAATATTCAAGGAAAAGGACGGGTTAATTACATAGGTGGCATGTAAGTACATTCAAACATTACTTTTAAACATGTTTAAACTCTTAACTTAAACTCCTTACTTTAGATTACTTATTCCTATACTACAACTGCTAGCAATTAATCTTGCCTTTATAGCCTGAGTTTAAGGCCTTAAGACACGAGCAAGCTACAAAACAAAAAAGCTAAGCTTGAGGCATGAGTGTGATGCAAGCAGCTGCACAAAAATATGCAGAGTTGTGGTCAGGTACCATCTGAAGGTCTGACTCAAGGCAGTTTTCTCCATCAGGGAGTAAATTCACATTTGAGAATCTTCATCAACTCAAGGACCTATATCACATGTTTGGAACTATTTGTTGAATCAGGGTAGCTTGAGCTAAACTGGTAAACTTTTTCATGTGTTAAAGGCATAACTAATGGGAATGCATGATCAAAATTATCCAGGCCCAAGTTATACATTCACGAACACTGAGTGAATGCAGATTTTTTTGATTCATATTCTTATGGAAAAGGAAACTTATCTAGCAGAAGACTGTTTGTTTGTTTTATATTTAAGTTACTTTTGAACAGGTCTTACCTAAAAGTCATAATATGTCCATTGGCACAGAAACATGCAAGGCAGATACTGTTACTCAATGACACTATATCTCCACGAAGAACAAAAGAAGTCTCTGTTATGTTTTGCTTATAAATACAGTTCTGGGACGGCAGTGAGATAACTTTTGCTTGCTTTTCTGAACATATCACTGCATATTGGTTTTCACTGATTTCCTGAGAGGAAGAGGGGGACACTGAGACAGGTCGTCGTTTTTTCGATTTGTCTTTTTCATCTTTATCTTCAGGAACATTGTGTTCTCTCCAGGGTTCATGTGCTGGTGGGACCAAAGATCCTGTGGTATCCAGAAAAGCCATTCTCAAGATTGCCCCTTTTAGCCTCAGGATGGTTCCTAGGAAAAAGAAGTTGAGCACATTTCTAAAACAGTTCTCCTAAATTGTGTTTCAAGCTACAAAATATTCCTTTAAGAAGCTAGCAAAATGAGAAGAAAACAAGAACTCAGGCTTACCTCTGTAGCAAAACAGACACACCAAAACCTTTGGATGTTTATCTAAAAACCAATGAAGCACATGCAAGAGCACATACGTATTCAAGAAAACATTAAACCAGTTTTCAAGGGTTAAGTGTATGCATACTCTTCCATTAATTTAAACAGAAACATATACATTTATTAAGAGAGACAAGCTGGAATGCACATTTGTATTCAAGTTTAGCATCACAAATGCAACTAATTTCATTCCCTCCTGAGGAGTACACAGCATGCTTAATATCAGCAACAAGTGTTATTAGTCAAAGGTGAGCACCTCCCTTTTTCTTCAATACAGACAGGTTCAGAAACAAGCAATGCGTGAGGCTTTTTTCCTGCTGCAGTTCACACTTGAATCTACTTCTCTCTAGCATAAACTGAAAAAGTTTTCCCTCCCCACTGTTTAAATCACTATCTCTGTATGCCAGATCTTAAGCTAATACATTTCTTATTTTACTTATATTTATTCACATGCAAGTAAAAAAAAAACCCACAAAAACCCCAAAAAACTAAAAACCATAAACACTTGTTAAGTACACAAGGAATCATACACATGGCAGTACCTTTGAAGGTTCATGCTGCAGATCCAGTGATTAAACATACTGTCCAGTCTGCAGCCTTGCCTTTATGATCAAATGTTACCAAATCTGAATACTGCTGCCAATACCATATTCAATAAGCACAAATCAAATACAGTCCAGAGGTCACACACTACTCCTAATCACTATTTCAATCAAATAGCATTGCAGTTTGCATGTCCTGATACCATCTGTGTCAGCAAAGTAGAGCAGAGCAGCATGTTCTGCATGAGACAGTGGTAGCAGGAAAGCTAAATTTATGCCTAACAGCACATTCAGCAAACTATTAATACAGAACTACAATAAAGTCAGTTGCTGTATATCAGAAAAACAAGATACAAGACTTCTCACAGCAACCCAAAGGAATATTTTATCACTAATATTTAAAGCTAGTTGTTCAATATACAACCCTTAATTTGTATTCCCTTTTCATAATGCAGGAAAACTGAAAGTTCCCTGCCTCATGACTAAAAAAAATTTGAGCATTTGAAATACTCATCTCTTCTGCTATTTCTGTTTAAAAATTGCCAGGTACTACATTAAGGTTAGAAACATGCATTTCTCAGCAAGTATACGTTAAAGTGGTATTTTTATATTATATGAAATCATATTTTCAACTTTGCAACTTTAAAACTCTGGAAATGAAGTAACCAATCTAGATTGTTAACGTTAGTAACTAAACCAATGAAGTATATATCAAGTTTCAATTAATCTATAATGGAGAAAAACATTTTCTTTAAAAAATCCACGAAGAATGACAACAATACTTTATCAAAGCATACTTTAGCCCATCTGCTTTGTACATACCACTAGGAGAAACAATTACTGGCTGAAGAAGTCTTTGCTCTCCTCCTGGGGGTAAGTTCAGTACAATGACAAGCACTGTACCCAGCGTGGTCCCAACCCACAGGCACGGGGAAGGTGATGTATCGGCCTTTCTTGTGAAAGTCTCACAAAAATGAAGAGCTGAAATTGCCTCGCGTGACTCCTTATCAATGCTAGTTACACTAGAACTCCGGGATCGACTGAAAGAGTTGTCTTTGACATCTGAAAATAAATCAGTATTAATTAAAAAGAATGGCAAAATGCAGGCATTAGGAGAATTCAGATTTTCATTTTTGTTCTTTAGCATGAGGTATATACTAACTACTATTCTATTGATTATTACTCTTGTATTCTTCCTTAGTCATATTTCCTTTTGGCCCAGTTTTCACTGCCATATCATGAACAAAGCACACAATCTTTTTTTGCAGAGGTTGCCATTAGGTAATTGTCATGACAGAGAATAACAGTCATCATCAAACAGGATTCCTCCATTAAAAAAGTTGAATTACAAACCTCTCTGCCAATTAGTTCATTGATCAGATTAAAAAATATTGGCCTCCATGGAACATGGTTTAATAATCTTATGAAGATGTAACTATTTTAGTTTAAGAATTGCAGTGATATCCAGACAGCATGATAACATGTAACCTGTAATGACCCACAAAAATATTGTCCTGCTTTAGGAAACTGTATGGGGGAGGTCTGACAGGCTATTTACACACACCTGAACTTTTATTAAGAGAAACATCAAATGCTACCAAATGCCACCTGGCATTAGTATGCAAAGCTGAAGATTTCTGTTTTGAATACTGTATAAAATGGCACCAAAACTTTTCAGAACCTCTTGCTCATTGCTTAGCAAATAAGGTCCTTGTAACAGAGAGTGAATTCTAATATTAACAAAAGCTTCAAACCACTAAGTGTGCTGCTCCATCCTAGCTGTGTGCTGTCTGTACATGTGGTGATACTTAACACAACAGCATGTCTGAATTTATCTGTGCATTCACAAATTAATGCTTTAACTCATAATTCCAAAATTTTAGCATGAGACAACCCTTACTATTAAAAGCTTAATGCAATTTAGATCATGACTTTTAAAAAAATAAGTTATTGTTTTGGATCTTTGGGTAGGGTATAGATGCAACAGGCATCTTTAAGGCAGGATTAAGAGCTAAAGAATAACATTTAACCACATACTTTCTGGAAGTATCACTATGCTAATTTAATTAAATCATTGCAAAACTTTCTACAAAGAACATCTAACATGCATTTTAAAAGCATACACACTAGATTGCAACTGACTCACAGACATGTACTCAACACAAACAGTAAATCTTCTCAGGAGATACTTGTCTTATTCCAACAAGGACAGAAAAATTATTTTCTTGCCGAATTTTAGCCAAGTCAAATATAAAACATGGATTATAAAAAGAAAGTAGGTCAACCACTCAGATGTTGACATCTTAAGTTTTCACATTTAAAAAAACAAAACAAACAAATCCAGAGTAAAACAATGGAAACAAGTATTTGTTTTTATAATTCTTCTAATGACCACAACCTCTTAAGATGCTTGTTTCTTCAGGCTTGAATATTTACTAACAATGTTTTTTCAACTCTAACATGGATTAATCAGTCTGAATATAATCATACATTAACTGCAACAGACAAAATTAAACGTGCATTTGTTGAGTTGCATCTGGTTGAATATTTGCATGTGTACAAATTCCAGAAGCATTGGAACAGACAGGAAAAACCCCATAAAAATTAACTTGCCAGACAATACAGGCATTGTGGAGAGTGGACATTCATTCAGGAAAGAGAACTGGGGGTAAAGAGTTTAACTGCATTAGTGCATATTATTTATCCTGAAGTCAAGGAAGAAACTATGGTTTGTTAATGGATTAATTTCAGATGAAGAGGAACAACAGTGTGATGACCCACTACACACCACTTCATCAGAAGGATGGAAAGATGAGGCTCTCTTGAGCCACTAAACCAAAGGACAGGACCTAGTGGCAACGGTACCTTAATCATCTGGATTACAACATTGAAAAGCAATGGTATAATGCAGCCTAGATTATGTTCAAGATAACTTCTGTTTTAGAAAGTGGAGGATAAATACAGAAGCACATACTTTAGATTTTGTTTTGGTTATTTAGGGAGGAAAAGGGGTAGGTTAAAGATCTAAAGACAGAAAAGTAATTTGAAAGAACAAGATCATGGAAGAGTAGGTTTCAAGAAGCCATGGAGAGAACAAAGAGAAAGTGATACAGATAATGAACTTGGGTTGAAAGTCATTTCAGCTGTCTCCTAGAGCCAGTAGATATGGCCACATAAGTGAAAAAAATACAAGCAAGCTGACAACCTCTGACGTACACTATGCAAATCCCTCTAGGAGAAAAGATAGAAGTAAAATAAAAAAAAAAGATTGTAATTGCCTAATGGAGTTATTTACAGACCTGAAAACCTAGAAGAATTTTACACAGAACAAAAGGAGGCACCTAAGTGCAGATATCCACACATGCGCAAAGTCAAGCAAAACCAGTCAAAGGCTACTACAATTCGGAAGGTACAAACTATTTTATGAGTATATGAGAAGTGAGATGACAAAAAAAAAGTCCATTATTTCAGTAGAAAGAACAGCAAATATTAAACGATGTAGAAAATGCTGAAATTCTTTCAGGATCAGAAAATACTGAAGGAATTTCAGCATTCTCTTTTTCTCCATTCTTCATAAAAAACTTCTAAGTACATATTGCTATGAAAGAACCGGGAGTAAAACAGTAGAATTAGAATGAATCGGATAATATTTAAGTACAAATGTGGTCCAGTTTGCAAAATATGATAAAATTCACCATAAACTGAAATTATCCCTAAACCATTAGTAAATGTAGTAACAAAGAACAAACACAGATTGAGAAGAGAAAAGAAGTTTTACTGCTCTTTCATGCCAAGAAGGCCACAGTTAAATCCCTCTAGGTTCTGGGCACAAGAGTTTTAGAAAGATGAGGAAAAATTCCAAGTTCAGAGGAGATTAACAGAAGCCCATCCTAGATTTAGACAACATAACCTAAAAAAGGAGAAGGAACTGAACTTTGTAAAAAAAAATTATCTGCCAAAACAAAGGTTACAGATATAATGACAGCTTTCAACATCATAAAAGATGGCTAACAAAAAGACAGGGAACACTGTTATCCCTGCTCATCGTGGAAATGACAAGAAAAAGTTAATATGGAAGCAAGGAAGATTGATTAAATAACAGGAAATTTGTTTAACTGAATATAAAACATAGGGACTTTGTCTGGGATATTTCTAAAAAACTTATTTATTGGAGCCTCATGAACAGATGAGAGGTTAAATTGTCAGACATCTGGATCCTTGCCATAGCAACGGATTAAAGGATCTCTGAGGGTTCTTTCCAACTTCACATTTCTCTGAGTGGAGCAAGCTGTAAAGTGTAAATCAGGTCCAACTCAGTTTCAGAATATCTCAGTGCCATGGACTCTTTCCTTGCTGATAGCAGCAGTTGTCAAATACACAGTTCTGCAGCTGCCAGTCTGATCCTGGTCTGTCTTCTGCTGGGGTTGTGGTATCAATTGTGCCGCAGGAGGGGGAGCGAGCTGTGGCAGGCAGGAGGCAGCTTTCACAATCAGGCTGCATCTACTGCTGTAGGTCTACAGCTGTTCCCCATCGTCTTTAGAGAACAAGGCAGGGGAGCTGAATCTGATCCACAAGCTGGCAAAGTACTAAAAAAAAAACCCTACTCATTTTTATGCTGGTTTAGTTATGCAATATAATGACCTCTATTACTACAGACTTCATAACTGAACTGATTCTTATATAAAAAAATTACTGTGCTTTTTCAAGAAAAGTGAAATTCTCAGACTGGTCATCCATCCAAACAGCTATATATTATTTTAATTTAGAGAGGGTGGTCACAAGACAATTAATATTTGTAAAACTATGTCCAACTATTTGTTGAGTGGACCTCAACATATCCTGTTATTCTTAAGATACTTAATTTTTAAATTTAAAATGTATCAGATGGTTCTAAACAAGCAGCAATTTTCCTCACATTACCTGCTTATTCACACTTTTGCTATCACAGCACTGCTGATAAAGTGAGTGACAGATACTTAAAAATTAGGACGAAAGTGCGATAAGCCACATACAAGATTTGCAGGCTTACCTTATGACAGCAATGACATTTTGTGCCCGAGAGCCCCCCAAAAGAGTGGAATTAAAATTTTAGTTCTACACTTCAGGTAAATGCAACAAAGTCATGATAGCTTACACAATTTAGGACTCTTTCTTTAACACATTCTGTAAAACAGTTTTAGTGAAAATAAAATCAACTATGTAAACTTACCTAAATCAGGCTTTAACTCAGTTGGCAAACTTAGCTTCCTGGACATCTTTGCTGAAAAGTGAAGTATATCTTTTTTTTAAAAAGAATAAACATGATTCTGCTGGCCTTCATTTGCTTCTTACCATTATTTAACATGTCATTACCACATTAATTGCAGTACTTAGCAGGATTTCTACTAAAGCAGAGCCCCACTTCCACAAGGGAGGGGTGAAAAGTAAAACATGGAAGATACCAAAATCCCCAAATACAGCATTTCATGGCTTTTGCCAAGCTTCATTGCTCCTCAGGCTTCAGGCAGAACTTGATGGATTGGATGAATTTTGCTTTGGCTCAACCTCAAGTTTTGTCTCCTCAGGTCAGAGGACAGAATACAGACTCTTGGCTATTGCAAGAATGTGCACTCAGGTTTGCATAAAGTTAACATCCCATCCCCTCTTCTTCTGCCCTACTTCCTGATCAAACCTGAGATATTTAAAACAGAGAAAAGATGAACTTTTAATTACACTAAACCATTAATACACATGTGTAAAAAGCTAGTAATCTGAGATGCAATCTGCAACCTTAGAAGAATGAAGACGTTACAGAGAATAATTATAAAATCAGCAGCATACAAACACTTGCAACACTGTCAAACAAAAGACAGTATAATTTTGATAATATTGCTGAAGTAAAAAATAGCACTTGAACTCATCCCGACTCAGAAAATTCTCTTTCTAGGAACAGAAATCTTGTGGTCCATTTAAAATGCAGTATGATACCAACAAATGCTACTATAATAAAAGTCACTAGTAAACTAGCAGCCATACATCCCTCTTCCGTCTTTCTTTCAACAATTACTAGAGAAGGAATAATTTTGATGTAGCTTAACTACTAGACCAGGGCTAGATTCTGAATTTATTTCCCAGCCACATGCGTGAATTTTGATACATCATTTAATTCTTCACTATCTTGTAAGGATAATAGTTCTCTACCTAAAGTAGATGTTGAGAATAGCCTCATAAGTCTAGGAGTACCTTCTAATGGATACCAGTCATAAGGCAGCCTGAATCTTGCTGCTTCTCTCAGCTAAAAATGGAATTAACTCACTCTAATTATCGTTTTAACAGATATCATTCCGTTTTCTACATATCCTGAAGAACAGCGTGTGATTTAAAGTTACTTCCACTTCTCCAACAAGTGAAATACTTCATTGTATCATAAATTACGCACATCAATATTGCAAATACTAGTTATCTGAATAGTTGAACAGTTTTATTCCCATCATACATTATAAAAATTTGAGAATAAGACTCCAAAAATAATCTTCTCATTTCCTTCATACGTCAATGTTACAAAGTATGTCCTATTCAAATTAAATTGAAATTACTTACTTTCAGACTGAAATGCTAGTCACTAACTTATTTTAGTGCAGGCTGAAACTGAAAAGGGTAGTCCAACTACACATTTTCTACCCTCATCCTTGCATTAGCACTGGCATCTGCCAATGGTGAGGCCAGAACTCATCTAAATGAAGTTTCTGCCGAGGGTTGTTTTCAACAAGATGAACTCCTGTTTCAGATCAGAGCTCAGCTATACAAACAGGAAACCATGGTACAAAACAGCACCAGTGACCAGAAGCCCAACTTTTTGCTGTCAGCCTAAACTTACATCAGCTTAAAAAGAAATCACGAAACATCATCTGGAATTGTGAATTACAAGAGAGGCGTTCCTCATCATAAGACTTGTTTTCTGTGTTAGACATGTAAATCATAAAAGCTGAGATACTGAACAAAAGCTCAAGTATGCATACAGAAAATGATTTGAGTCATTTTTGGCTTTTCACAGCTTTTACCATGCGTGAATACCAGCAATGATTAATTAACTTAGTCACTTTGAAGACCAGAGCAGTCACTTTTGGCTTTTCAAATAGACATATTTAACACACAATTTTAACAACTTGGAGAAAACTGACAAAGAAAAAAAAACCCTAGGTAATATAGCAGGTAATAACAAGTACAGGCAAGTGTGTTGGATTCTAAGAGTCAATCCACAATTTTAGCTTTTTGTTCCCTAATGAAAGGCCAGCTGTGTGAACTAGGTTGATAAGGTAAAACAAATTTGTCAGACATCATTTTCTACGAACACTGAACTGCCTCATTAATAGGACAAGAGGATACATGAATTGTTAAAAAGGATGTCATTATTAGAAATCGTGAATTAATGTGCTATGCATAAAAATACATTTCAAAACATACATTAATGTGTCAAAAATCTCAATAATTCAAATGTAAATAGGAAACAAGAACCTATTTAAATAGCAGTAGTGCCATCTTGTGTTTAAAGAAAGAAGTGCCCGAAGATGCAATACGAAAACAGGAGTATTTTGCCAGCTAAGACATTTTTAACTAACATTACTTAGTATAAAAATAACCTGCTTGTATTCATATCTGGCTTATAGTTTACAATAGTTTTGAAAAATTCAGTTTTGCTATGCCTCAGATGAAAAACAGCAACATGCTAGACAACTTCTATGACATGAAAGATTAAATCAGAGAAATGAAAAAGATAGGATGGAGATCTACAGAGAGTACACCCAATGTCAGGCTTTTTACTGCAGATGTACAACAGGGCAAAGACGATGGGGATTGCTCCTGCTGGATGTGGCTGACCTAAAGTAGTAGCTGTTATATCAGAGTTTAACACCTCTCTTGGTGGTGGTGGTGGTTGATGGAGCATTTACAGCCAAGACTACCCTTCTGCAGCTGGCGTGAGACAAGGAGACAGAGACTGGGGAGCCGTTTTGCTCCTCCTGGCACCCTTCTGCTCAAGGCAACAATGACTATTTTGCCTGTGTTTAGACCTACATTTAATACTCCTCTAAATTAGAAAACCTAGAGTCATACACAGGCACACACACATTCTTTCTGTTGCTAATATATATAATTAAATAAATAAAAGTATGATATTAGGGAACTGCCCCAAAACAACATTCAGGATTCTTGGAGATTTCTCATAGGTCAGGCTTGAGGGGCCAGGTGTTAAAATATGAAAGGTTACCTCGGCATAGCGTGTTATATTTCAGCATAGCAGGCTCAACCAATTCAATGAAGAAAACCTGAAGGCTGAGACATGACTGAACTATCAATAGGAAGCTGTGGCTTAAAAGTAATAGTTACATTTTATTTGCGGTGTGTTATCCTGAGCTGATACTTTACAATGTATAGCACATCAGTTTGAAAGCTATAGAGTGATTTCTCATCCGTTCCTTATTTAAGGAAACAGTCTAAGCCCTTTAAAAAAATTCTAAAGATTATAAGAGACAAGCATTCTTGGTGTTTTGACAGAGAACAGTTCACATAAAGCCTATTCCATTTAACATTTCATGAGAAATAACTAAGCAGCTTAGAATTTGTTAGACATACCAAAGTTCCCAAATTATTCTATATTTGACAACTACACAGAAGTGAAAGATTTACATTACTAATTTCAAGATGCTTAAAGAATTGAATACTGTACTGGTGACTGTATAATAGAGAAACAGATTATCAATGCTGAAATCTCCAAATTTGATATAAGAATAATAAAACCATTTTATAAGAGAATGTAAGAAAACATGTACTTGATATATCCAAAATTACATCAAAGTGTTAAAAACACATTGGAAGAAAGTCTTACTCTGGCATTAGGGCAAATGAGAACTTATTATGAGCATCTCAAGATTTGATTCTATTAAAACAGTATTAACAGTCAGTGACTTTAGCACTGTTTGAAAGATTTAGATGCACACTTAGAATGTAATGAATGTGAGAAACCTTATGTCAATAGTAACAACAGGAATTATAGAAGTTTAGAATTAAAGCTACTCTGCTTAGATCTGCCTACTAATATTGTTTGCAATTGTTTTTAAGTTTATAAACTGCAGAAAATAAAAACAATTTCCTGAAAAGTATTTGACATGTAGCCTACTGGAACAGTTAGCTAACAGGACATTACAATACCTCTTCACTTCTGATCTGATTCATAGCTATATATTTAATTATATATATCTCTTCATGCCAAATAATTAACTGACCAAAGTGTGAGTAAAACAGCTTAAGATTTTGCTTCCACTGAAGTTGGATCACAATGCCTTTCTATAAAAATCAGATGGCCTTAGAAATTAAACACTTCCTACAAATTCTTCTTCCTGTAAATTCATCTACATTTAGTACACTTCTCTGTACTACTTCACAGCATGTTATTTATACTTTCAAATATTTGCCATTCCTAAGAGAAATGGCTGCTTTTAATAATGGCCACAGTATTTTCTATAATTTCTAGAAATGGTTAGTTACACCAAGTATCTCCATATATCCAAGGTAATTGCAACTTTTCCAAAGTTGACCTCTGATGCAAATAAAACGGAAACACGACCCAAAAGCAACATATTCACAACAGGTCTTCAACTTGAGTTACTATCCATTCCTTAACACGGAACATTCACAACTGAGTATTTAGGAAAAAACAGAAGACAAACTGATCTTAACAGTATATATGGCAAAGCTGAATGTTGGTACATGAAGCATTTACATTTTGTTTATGCTATTGTCGCAGTCTTAGAAGGTTTTTGATCCTTTAATGAAGCAAGAATAAGGATTCTTGCTTCTGATACTGTCACTAATAACAGAAATCTGTAGAAATGAAGACATTTCTACGTAAGTTTCAATAGTGATTAAAATGACAACGGCTTCATATTTCTAAATGCATGTGTATTATGTTACCACCTTACAGCCCTATCACTGCAATGATATTACTTCTCACTTTGCAAGCAGTATTCCCCTTACTCACTTTTCCCATGTGACAAAAACCACAGGAGTGATATTAACAGCAACTGAAATTATCAATGTAAGTAATTCTTGTCCTGTTCTGTAATCCATTTGACAGGTCATATTTCACACACTGACAAAGAATGGAAAGAAGTTGAACTGATTGCACTATACACCAGTGCAAAGAGCTACAACCATGCCACATACATCAAATTCATCCATGTGAACATAGTTGATGGTAAACAATTTATTTCATACAACATGAAGTTAATGACAGTAAGTGACACTCATATTTTACAGAACTCATTGTCCATTCACATTTAGTTGGCAATTAAGCTTAAAACAATGAAATGCAAAAACATGCAACTATTAACACCGAAGAAGAGGTGTTTTACTTATGCTGAAGAGCTTAGAACATAAGTTCAGAAAGAGCCATGCAGAGTAAACATGCTAGATAAGGTATAGAAAACATGGAAGTGAAAAAAACCCAAAACATTCAGTGCATGGCATCAAACCACTCAAAACTCTAACAGAAAGCAGATGAAATAATTAAGTTACTTTAAACTTCCAATAAACTGTGCAAGTTACACAAATCATAGTATGGGCTGACTGGGAGACACTTACGAATTACATGTCAAATGCATTATTTTCTCAATTAACTCTGTGTTTAACTTACACCCTGAAGAATGCATTACTTATAAATAAATGTTTTGCTTTTTAGCTGTGAAAAACATTCACAATACTTCCAGTTGAAAGGCTTCAAGCTGAAACAGATGCCAATATTCCATAGAATTGTCATTAGCATGTTTTATTAATACTATAACATTACTCTTTGAAAAAAGTGAGAAAAATAATGAAGTCACACTCAAACATACTATGTTTTTTGCACAAGATAGGCTGTCTTAAGTTCAGAAGAGACTGCTTTGGGACAAAAGGGAAACATTACCTCATCAACAGGCATTGCTATAACATGCACAAGATCAAGTGTTGTTTTTCTCATCAGAAGAACTGAATGTAAGTTTCTAGTTAGCCTGAATTTCCTTTAGGAGAACATATTAATTGATACCCATGTAAATGATACTAATTTTTTTTTAATTACAGATGAATTAATATAAAATATTTTTGACAGCCATTTGCTTTCCTGAATTATATTCAGGCTTCTACTGTCTCAGAACTCATCTTCCCTAACATTTCTGTTATCACTTCAAGGAGAGCTCAACATAGTACTGAGCAAAGGCCATATTCTTGCTCTTCCTCATTCTGTACCTCAGATTCCAAAGACTACTTCATCATACATGTATTTATTCTTCTTCTCAATTACTGAATTGCAATGAAAGGGATTAATGGTTTAGGATAAAAGTTGATTTGCCAAACAGCAAATCAAAGGGAGACTATAGGAAAAGAAATCTCTTCCTTCCCAGTCTTAAACTAAGGATGAACACAACCTATGAAATAGTAGTTTATCAAAAAGTTTTACTATATAAAGTAGTTTCAACCTTTTTATATGATCAAAGATATGAAACGAAATCCTCCTACAATGATATACGAATGTACTAAACAAAAACAAAATGAACCATTAACACTGATTTTGAAATGAAAATAGCCATATCCCAGTTAAGGAAGAGTCTCTTTCCCAAAATTAAATCATACAGCCTCTCACTGTCATTTATTTAATGACCCAGTTGTCAGAAGCAGAGTTAATTTCCATTCCAATCATAAAAGGGTTCAATCTACCTGCATACAACATATTCCAAGGCAATTTTGTTGCCAAATTGTTAAGACACAAGTCTGGAACTGATAGGGTATTGTGTCTCTGTTGGATGCAGAAAAGTAAATACAGTTCTGGAACAGTAATGGGGTGTACTTATATAGATGTGACCAAGTTCTCCTCCAGACAATTAAATGAAAACATGATACTACCTCTATCTTGACCATAGTCATATGGAAATCTGACCATATGGCTATGAACGCAACACAAAGAAATAAATCAGCCATATGTTCTCAAAGAGAGTGTACCTTTGCAAAAGTACTGGAATAATGTTGCGACTTGCATAGACTGAACTCTTAGTACAGATTAGAATTTCACCCATCCAGAAAACAGAGAAGTACAATTGTAAAATCAGAGAATTTAAATCACCAATATCCTTGATTTTTTTAAGAATTATTGTGCCCAGTGTATTTAGTACACAAGCAGCCCATAGAATCACCAATTAGCATAAAGAATGAAAAATTAATAAACTTAATGCATTGAAATTTGAATTTTACGTTGGTTTTTGCTGCTGGGTTAGTGTTGCATAGAGTAAGGCACAGAGCAGAATTTTTCTAGTTCCTACCTATGTCATTGGCTACCATCTTGGAAAACTTTCTGCTTTTGGTCTTCACTGTAAATAATATTTTAATAAAAAAGGATCAATCTAAGTGTATCAAAGGATGAACTGAAGAAAAAATAAGACTATAGAAAAGAAAAATACTGTACCCTTTTCTATAAAATTATTCATTGTTTGATCATCATCAGAATTGTTTGGTGAACCAGAACCTATGAGTGAAGACAGAATGAAATGGATATGCAAACATGTATCTTTGACACAAAACCAATGTATTAATACAAGCTTTGAGTTTTAAGGAAAATACAAAGATGTATTCAAATATCAAATACTGATACTGGTATTCTCTGTAGCTGTACTAGATACTATAAAGTCCAAATGATTTTGGCATGACAGGAATTCTGCTATATTGAGATTAACCACAAAAATTATAATGCAAGGTACAATGTTGCACAGTGCAGCAAGTTTAGTGCTAGAAGTATTTCTCTCACTGAATAAAATATTTATACTGAATAACTAGATTGCTGTCCCAATCATGGTTCCAGACACAAAGATTAACCTAAATTATGATTCACAGAACACTGCCGTACCAATGAACTCAGGTTTTGAAAATTTGAGGTTTTTTCCAATGCAGTAAGTCACTGTTGGGCCACAGTTCTTCAACTATTCTGCAGACAACTCAGAGCCAATACTGCCACCTGAGATTTTTCTGAATCCTTAATACTGAACAAACAGTGATGGCTATAAGCCACAACTTGAGGCTTACCATTGTCATGAAATTCAAATACAGTTCGAATAAAAAATGCCAAATTTCATTGGATTTTATATTGTGGAAGTGTGAAATAAGAATAGAATGCAAACATTTTGACACTCATGAACACAAAAGCTTGATGGCTTACAATGCTATACAATGTCTTATGCATTAGATAAATGCCCCCGGAGTCTAAGCTTATTACCATTTAACTTCTGCAGAAAAAGTAGGAGAAAGTTATTATTTCTCTCGCATTTTCACAGTATTTCTGTAGCTCTGTGTTATTAAAACTGCAGGATACTCTCCTAACCCGCATAGGCAGGTAGTCCCTTTCACAGTCCTCTCAACTGTATAACCATCCACTGGAGGGAGTCTAATGGAAGTTAGCTTCCACTTCTCTTCACCTGGGCACAGAAAGGTGGAAGATTTAGATCACTTGAGCAAATACAAACTACAGCCCAAACAGCGGCTGGTCTGTTTTACATATCATATTGTAACAGTCAAAGCCAACAATGCACTCGATTGCCAATTCCATCCTCCAATCTTAAAGCTAGTAACAAGCAAACTTCTTGTGCTAGTGTATTCTCCTCTTAACTACAGAGCCTCTAGACCAGAAAGAGTTCATTTAAATCTGGCCTCTGTCTTGCATCTCAAGCTCACCAACACTGTGCAGCTGATTTCTCCAAAATGACCTCTCTTACTTCTCTGAAAACTGAATGCCATTTTCAAGCTTCTTTCCAGTCTTGTGCTCTTGCCCAGAAAAGATATAAAACTTAAACCAAACCGAAGGAACTGCAGCTCTTCTCTCTTCAAAAACATCACCAAACCATTTCCATATCAGGGAGGTGCCTCCCTCTGAGTACCTTTCTCAAAGGAAAACTGAAGAAGCCTGCCATGACCTCATCTCATTCACTGAGAGCTGGGAGGAGAGGACAGAACCAAGGGAAACAAGGCACAGTCCAGTCTCACTACCTCATGATTCTGTTTTACAGGGGAATGCAACAGTGGGTTTCCCCCTCCATCTTTTGTCCATTCACTAGTTTTTGGTACTTTAGACTTATTTCTTTTTAGTATTGTGTATGTGCTTAAGACATTATATACTCTTTTCACAGAATAATCAGTTCTCCAAACATCTAGATTTTATTCTAATATGAACTAACTTCAAAATAGTCTTCTCAGATAGTCAACTCATAAATTGGAGATTGATATCTACCTCTGCAGGATTAGGAATTCCCCCCTAACTCTGTTTCCTTTCAGGACATTTGAATCCATCTATTCTAAGTTGCTTCCTTTTTTGATCCTCAAAGAAATATCCAAATTGCATTAATTTTTAACCTACTTCAGCTAACACAACTCAGGAGGGAGGGAGAGAGGGAGGTAAACAGAGAGGGAAGGGAAGCAAATTGTGAAATTTAGGATTTTTCCATATAGACCTTGATTTTCATCTTTGGGCTTGCTTTCATTGCACTGTTAGTGGAAATGGTGAATTGAGTTTTACTCCACTTCAACTCCAAATTATGAAAGAAACCCTCTAACTCAAATTAAATAGTGTTTTAAAGTTTTAGCAGTAACAGTTGGAAGTGGTTTGGGCTGACATTTGAGTGATGCTGGAGCAAGGGGAAAAAAGGATACAGATTAAGGTTTACAACTCATTAGCTGTTCATTGTACACAGTTTATAGCAGTCTGTCAGAAATTAGACTTAGCCTGGACTTTACATGGCTCAAATTCAAATACCTTAGTAAGAATTATCATCAGCTTCCCCAGTCTTGAAGGAGGAAGTGATTTACTGGAACTGCAGCACTGAACAACAAGTTGTTTACAGACATTGATCTTTATATTTAAAAATGAAATAGGAAAGATGTAATTTATTCTAAACACCACAAAAAATGCTTGCATTAAAAAGGAACTTTACAACTTCAGCATGCCAATGCTTTGCATTACACAGGTTTGTCATGAAATCACATGTTCAGTTAAGACTTTTTAATTAAAATTTCCAACCAAATTTTGCTTTAATTATAAATAAATCTCATTTACTCTAAGAAAGTGTTAGCAAAAAAGAAAGTGACATTGATTTAGATGAGAGTTTTGCACAATTTAACATCAAGACAGCAGTTGTCAAATCAGAAATTAAAATCTATGTTAAAATTTCTACTAGAGCTACGAACAGGATATTTTGTTTCATTATGCTTTCAACTTGGCTTTGAAAGGTACAATAGAAAAGGACTCTATCTTTAGATTCCTATATTGATTACCATTTTGCACTGTATTGCAAAGAGTACACATACTACTTTAGGTAGTTGAGTAAACCTGCAATTTTGTTCTTTGTTCCAACTTTGAGTACAGCTTTGAATGAAACAGATAAATTGACATATTACTTTAACAATTTTCTTAGAGTAATGGTGAAGGTAAGTGACAAAATTTTAGTTACTACATGAAATATTCATCTCAAATACTATATATTGATATGCACTATTAAGTACATACATGGCTATAGCCTCAACTAGCCAATATTAAACAAAATACGAAGTATTACATATTGCTGAAGTTTTAATTTAAAATATTCACATACAGTAGTGGCAACTAAAAAAAAGGGGTGGGGGTGAGGGGGAATGTTAAATAGGGAACTCCTACTTTGTAATGATGCCAGTTTCTGAAGGGCTCTGATTCCAAAGAAAAATAGTAATTTACCACTTATGAGGAACCAGAAGTAAACTAGCTCTCTTTACAGAAAAAATCTTTACCACTTTTAACCCTAACCCTAACTCTGAAACACAATCATATGAACTATTACAGGAATTTGTGCATCTCTTATCAATGATTCAAAATTCCATTGTCCAGTATGTTCCCTGAAGCATAAGAATTTCAGATTAAATCTCTCTTCACTGACCTTTATGACATATTCCTATTGCATCTCTTAAATCAGCCTTGTTTTAAAAATGCAGTTGTGCAATGCAGCAAAATTTATGACAGCTCAAACAGTTTGTTAGAGGACAACAGGTTTTATGTAATTACTTAACTAGTAAATGTTGACTTAAAGCATTCCATCTTCTGGGCAAATAAGAAGCTGAAGATCAGAGAAAGTTATGATTACCTGAAGTGGGTGATTTGCAGCGATCTTCTGGCACCACCATACCTTCATTAATATCACAAAGACCTGCTGGAACACAAAACCAGCATATAATAAATACAGCTGCTATTTTATCCTTTCTTCCACTGCAGTTAGGAACTTCATTTCTTATTAGCTACAAACCAGCAAGTTGTAATAGAGTTTCTCTTACATATTACTTTTTTTTTTTTAATTTGGGCATTACCCTATAGAGTCTATATGACTATAGGGTCACTTACTTCTTCCTACTAAAGTTTTCTTTACAAAACACATTTCCTCATTAAATTTCAGTGAAAACCACCATATTTTCAGCAAGACAGACTGTTTAGAACAATTATTTAGATGCTATAGATATATATTAAGTAAAAGTATCATTTCTGTTTTGAAAAAATCCCATGTTAAAAGTGTAATTGCAAAAGAAAGTCAGATGAAAGAAGATCTTGAAGATTACAACCATGTGTGCAGTATGATGTGCGAAACTACAGTGCCTTTTTTCAAATTATTTTCCCACTGTTACAGTGATATGCTTTGTATTTGCTGTTGCATTGCCAAGTTCATTTTCCAGCATAACTCCTTATTGATGTCACTTACAGAATTTAGGTTCTAGGGTGCTTACGAAAGTGTTCTTCCTTGTATGGAGGAATTTCACTAAATTCTTACATCACCAAATCTGATTATTTGAATAACTGCAATGTGTTAATATCTAGGAGCTCACTCCTTCCATTCCAGTGAAGGAAATAAAGCATAGGAGTCCACAATCAGATGCTAGAGATAGAAGTTGCCTCATAAGGGTCCTAAATATTATTCCACAGAACTAACTAGAAGTATATAAGGAATTTTTCCATTTTCCTTTTTGACAAGAAATTGCTGTCAAGACTGCCCACGATTAAGAAAAGTGAATTTTATTGATATCTTAAGGCTAGTAATGCATCTTTAGGTCTATATAATAAAGTTTTTGTTCAGAAATTTCATGATGCGATACTAATGCAAACAAGCACATAATACTTAACAGTAATAGTTAAGAAAGATTTATTAAAATGAAAGGTTTTTGCATGCACACAAATATTTTAAATAGTCAAAAAGCTTGACAGTTGTAACGGTAATGGTTAAGGCAACAAGGGCTTGCACATGCAAAGCCTGTCTATACAGCTGTATTCTACATATTCACTAGTGCATCTGTATATATCTGTTGATAGACAACAAAAAAAATATACAGGAACAGCACTACTCTTCTATCAAAGCTGTAGAATTTCCAAATAAGAGAACAGAAGTTAATAATTTAAATGAAAAAAGGTTCTCCTGAAATATCATATCAATGCGGAACACATTAGAAGTATTTTGCATTCATACACAGTTTCATTTATGCAAAGTAGTCTTTAAGATTAGTAAGAGCATGTACAGCTTCAGCCTCAAAACTCAGTGACTAGGATTGATGTGAAATTGTCAAACGACCACAAGGCTTGGTTTAGCCTACATTTAACAACAGTCCAGGAACTGACTGCAATTCTAAAATGTATGGTGAAATCCCAGGTGGAAGCTATACCTTTCCACTACACAGGAGAAAGTAAAAAGCTGTTTGTTCATTTATTTATCTATCAGTAAATCAATGATTACCTATGGGATAATTGTGGTATATATTCTCTAACAAAGTATGATTTGACCTCTGAAAGCACCAGCATTTTGAACATGCATGGGAGTCTAAATGTTTTGTACTAGATAGGGTTGTGTAAAAAGATATTTCAAAAATCCAGGTGCTGCTCTCCCGACAAGCAATACAAGTTTTAGATAGCAGAAGTGCTGGGAGGACAAACCTGTACTGTGCTTTTAGAAATAGTTGTGTTTCTAGATCATGCTCCTCCAGGAGCCAAACTGTACAAATCCAAACATGCAGTTCAGGAACTTAATTTCATCTTTCCCATAAATATTTTAATTCTTTATCTTCATAGGAAGAGTTTAACTTCTCACACTAGTTTTCCTATGAAAAGTGAAATCCTGCATTGACAGGAATAGCCTTAAGCCAAGAATGAAGTCACACACCTGCATGCTTGATTTCTTTGTAAGAAGTCTTGAGGCTATGATTTGATTAACATACATCTTAATGAATAACTTGTATCAATTGATCCAACAGAAAACCCCCAAAACGTTCTCTCATCATAAACCTATACATTAATTTTATGCATTAGGTAAGACTTATCCCACTGAAGAGTAAGTGTGCATTATGACAATCATTATGGCACATAAACCTTGGAAATTAAGCATAGCCATCACTGCTATTATTTAAGAGAGAGAAGAAGGGACAGGAATAGATAAAAAGTAATTTTATCTATGACTGTATTAGTAGTTAAACTAAGCAGAGAACAACAAGAATGATCTGAGTTAAGTCTGTGTACTATAAGGGTCTGTCCCTGACCAATGAGAAGAAGAAACTGGTGTAACAATCATTACTGCTGTTCATCTTAAAAGCCCAGGTACCCTGATAGAAGCAGTGTGCGCACTGGCAGTAAGACAGCTCTCTTGGAAAAGTTCTCTGGTTTCAGGCTTACAGCATATGCGCAAATTGCTATGGATTACTGCAAATTGCTATGGATTATTGCAAACTGATCCAAGATTTTCCATTTCAGAACTGCAAAGACTACAGCCTGACTAGGACACAAATATATCGAAATTGACGACCTAATAAGCTTTTAGCTTATCTCTCTTGAACTCCAGTAGCAAGGAATTTGAAAAACCCAAAAAATGAATAGAAAAAAAATAGTGTAATTAAAGACAAATTACTGTAACACACCCTGGAATTACAGCTGAAATTAACTTATGTATAAAGTAAGTTTCATGAGACATTTGTCAGTTTGTCACATAAGCTTTAGACAAATATATCTGAAGAAACTACAGCTTGACTGGAAGCCAGCCTAATTAAAAATTACAACTAGAACCAGCTTGATATGAAGGTATGAGTTAGAATTAAAAACAATTAACCTGAAAAAGAGTAAAAAAAAAAAACAAACCCAAACCCAACAATCAAACTTTCTGATTCAGTTCTGGACTCGGCTTAGCCACAGCTGATGCTGGTCTGGTTTAGTTGATGTTTAAGTTAAAAATTCAAACAGAGTTCATGTCCAGATCCAGTTCAAGGAGAAAGGGGACAGGGAAAACAACTAGAACTCTTGTGGGGTTGCTTGTTCCAGGCACATATTTTCTTCAGGTTTGTCTCAACCCCAGTTCTGAAACTCTTGTAAATTCCATTCAAAAAAGGCTTTTTGATGTATAATAAAAATTTTTAAAAAGTCACGTGCACGCAAGAACTGCTTCTATTTTGTTAGAACCCTAAACTGCCTCTAGTAGAACTAAGAAATACTAACTTATAAAAAGTTGTATTATATTGTACTAGTTCAGAAGTCACATAAACCTTGTAACTCCCATCAATAGCAACTTGCAGAAGAGTTAAGATTGGTGTCTTATGTGAACTTAATTATGTAACTAAGCATGAAAAAAAAATAACAACTGTCTGTAAGTTTCAGTGTTTAGTCATAAAATTACAAATTGTTTGATAAGTTGGTACCAATATTGGCTTTCTTCTTAATGGCTCCTGTCATATTTAGCAAACTATATCAAGCAAAGATCTCCAAACAGTGCAATCCTCCATTGTGTAGAGAGTTTTCATCACACTATAAAGCTTTTACTTACACACAGTGTGTCTTTTGGCACACGGCCAAAGTTGGGTTCCACCCCCCGCCCCACTATTACAACCTGAAGGCAAAGGTTGACTTTATTTTTATCCTTGACAAGCAGCTGATGACACTGTCTAGCAGGCCTTTACAAAATACATATACTGCATGCTTCACGAACTATAAATTGCTACCCAAAACATGTGATTAATATACCTGGTATGAATCATTGATAAATTCCAAAACACGATCCCAACTGGGAGCTTGTATCTGTTGAGCTAGCCTGAAATGACAGTTTACAGTCTAGCTAGTGTAGAGAGCCTTTTCTCTAAATAGATGCTGCTTTAAGACGGGAATCTGAATTTCTTTCTGAGTAGAAAAAATAAGATGACAGAAACATACATCATATTCTTGCAACACAAGTGAAGGGAAAATCTCGCATTTTTTAAAAAAGTCTTTTTAAATTTTCAGTTGATTGACTGAGGACATGCCATTTACTAAGTTATAAATATGTAAGCAGATAGTGATAATCTATTAAAAAAGACATTTTATGCTGGAACATACAGAATAGCAGGGTTCTTAATGAGGAAGGACCAATTCTTGCCGAGTTTTTTGGGCAAAACCTATGGAAGTGGTTGAGTAACAGCAAATGACATTTTTGTACTCCCCTCTATATTGAAATAATTTAATTTTTGGTTCTGCGAATCTTGGGATACAATGTACAAAACCAATATGCTGGTCTGTTGTATGCTGTCTGAACCTGAACTTAATGTAACTAAAAAGTTGCCTGAATGCATGAATAGGCCAGTATGATTTTTTTAAATATATTGCAGTTGTCTCAGAGAATGGAAAACATAGTCAGTTTCTCCAAAACAACCACATTAAATACATAAGCACTTTTTCTAGGAAGATTTAGAAATTAGGTACTAATACTCCCTGAAGGTTATTAGAGCTGTACAGTAGTTGAAAGTGTCTTATTCGTAGAAAAATCAATTTAGAAGTATTAAAATACAGGTGTTTTAAAGATAAAGAATTCAATGAAGGCATATATTTCAAAACAAAACCAAGGAAGCATAAGTTCCTTGCATCTTTGAAGACACTAAAAACAGATATTAATGTTCAAAAAAGGGAGAATGCAAAATCCAAAAGTGTTCTGACTAACTCTTACAGCTCCAATCCTATAAATATAGCAAAGGATACTTCTTAAATGTAGCAGACTTATTTGTGGAAAATTATACAGCAATAATGCTTTATAATTTAAGCTATTGAAGTCTGGGCAATACCTACATTGAAAGAATTACAAATAATGAGAAACATTAAATGATACTCTGGAGAAATTATTTTTGGTTTTTAAAAAGACTGTAGCTCCAGCTAATCAAGATACTGGGAGGATGGTGGAAGGAAAGAGAATTAACTGCATGGTTAAGAAATTAACTTTTGTACAAAACCTGATTAACTTATTCCTAAATTAAATAGTCCAGGTAAATTCAGCTTTACAATTGTCGGCTTCAGAAACCAGTTTTGGGACTTCTGCCCATCTTTTGCTTCCCTTCACAATAATAAATCAGTGGCAGATTCTGGTTTTCAGTTCTGTATCATCTTAAGGTAGAGGCATTTCTTTTACACCTAGCTCCCTTTCTCCCTTGGCAGCAGAGGATGGAAGACTATACAGAAAGCACTATTTGGCTATTGAGCCTACCCTCTCTGAAATGTATTTCTTTTTTCTTGTGCAGGAAAAGAAAAATAGCAGAACTAACAGAATTGGACTACAACATCAAGTTGGTTTTTTTTTTTTTTTAACTCCAGGTCATTCTTCCCTTAGCTTAGTTTTATTCTGCTCTCCTTCATTAAAAAATTGGGTGAGATTACCTACCTCTGCCCAAGGGCTGGAAAAAACTGGCATTCTAGGGAAAGGAATAATGTTATGCTTTTAAAAATCAGCTTTACGTTCTCCAAATTCTTGGATGCTGTGAATGATGGAGTAAGTCACAGAAGCCCTCAGGTAGATCATGGTTCTGATGGCTTCTGACCTCCATCACATACGCTCCTGAACTTCAAAACTGCTTGGAAACCCCACAGGGCTGTGCAATACATAGACATCTCCACTCTTAATCCCTATGAACAACATCTTTTAGAAGTAAATTTTCATTTCTAATAGACAAACCACTGTCTTTTACAATGTTATTTATTATTAATAATAATAATAATAATAATAATATATACAAAACAAGTGATGCACAATGCAATTGCTCACTGCCCGCTGACCAATGCCCAGCCTGTCCCCAAGCAGCAATTGCTGCTCCCCAGCCAACTCTCCCCAGTTATATACTGAGCATAACGTAATATGGTATGGAATAGCCCTTTGGCCAGTTTGGATCAGCTATCCTGGCTATACTACCCCCCTTCTTGTGTACCTAGCAGAGCATGGGAAGCTGAAAAGTCCTTGACTTAGTGTAAACACTACTTAGCAACAACTTACAATGTTATATTATTAATAATAATAATAATAATAATAATAATAATAATAATATTAATAATCTAACACTAGAGTTCTGAAGCTTTTTCTGCCAGAAAGGGGACCAAGCAAGGGATGATTCTAGCCTCAGATCTCAAAACAACACTAAGTTTGGCAAGTAAGATCCTTGGGTCTGCAGACATCAGTAACTTCTGAGACAGGATCTCCTTTTGATTTTTTTATATTTATGTCTTCAAAAAACCAGAATACAGAGAGTATTATGATTGCCTTTTTTCCTTCAAGTTTCTTTTAAAGATGCCATGAACAACAAACACAATAGATGCATGATGGATTAAAAATCAGTTTCTAAAAGTAAAACAATTACTTAAAATGGACTAACAAAAATATTTATGGTGAACGAACAACTCAAAAAATCAAATTCAGATGTTCAAAAATATTTTATTGCCATGAGATGACTTACTTATATAAGAGGTGCGAAGCTTTTTCACAGACTCTGAATATAAGTTAGAAAGGCCGCACATGCAAGAAGCCACAGTCAGCATACCTTTAATGAAGCAATGAGAAAAGGAAAGACGGAGACACTAACAGTACATTTGAGACAGAAAAGCCGGCAGAATAACTGGTATAATGAGGTTTATAAAATGCTCTTGCCATGCAGATCGTTAGTATTAAAATGTAAGATAAAAATACATGATTTCATGTAACAGTTATATTCATGAGCAAAAAGAACTTCATTCATTAACATCTTAGAGACACAGTTGTAACTCAGTTATGCAAATCCAACACATTAAAATAACAAAAGCCAAGAAAACAAAGCAAGTAATGTTTAACACTCCAAAAGGCAGTTTATAATCTAAATGCATGAAGCAGAATTTAAGCCCTTTACTCCCAAGAGGAATTAAACACAGTCAACCAGTAAAGTTATTTCTTTCTCCCTTAAAGTAATTTTTAATAAAGTTTTTATTTATTAGAAGGAAATATTTTATCTGATAGGATACCAACTGTGTATGTTGTGCTCTACATTAATGATTTTTAGACCAGTTTCCTCAGATGGAATAAGCTGACTGGTGCTAACCAGATCTTTCTCAAACCAATGATTTACTAAAATACATCTTGGAACATCCATTTCAATTTGAATAAAATATTACCTAAAGAACTTACCTGGATTTTATTCTGGATCTCAAAATAAAGCAATCAACACCAGAGCATGAAGAAATTTTTTTTTTTTGAACATTTTATTTCCTATAGAAAAATAATCATTTGGGGCAGCAGTGACATTGTTTACCATTCTGTCTTTAGCCGTTTTCCAAATTAACTTAAAAGTATCCACTACATAACAAGGAGGAGAAAATTTCAAAAGACTAAATTTTCCTTTTGGCAATAAAAGCTTGGAATTTTGACCGAAAAGTCACTTTCCTCCTCAGCTGCAAAGAAACACCCTTCACTATAATTTAAAAATCAAAGTCCTTTTTTCATAAAAGATTTATTTTACCAGTTTGTGTTTGGAAGTTTATTTGGTTCATTTAAATCAAAGGCATTCATTTAAATCAAGCATAACATAACAGCATACACAACACAACATGCTTTAGCTTGTCCAGGACATTTCTAGTCAAAGTTTAAAACAGGAAGCCAAAAGATCCCAGCAGATACCCTGGCTATCTACAAACATTAATGGGTTTACACAAGCATGTGATATGGGTACTAGGTTTATCAGAAATACCAGGATACTACTTCTTCTTCATCCTGTGTTAAGTCAAAATCTTGTAAACTGCATAAATCCATTGTACATTTATACTTATATCTATTCACACAGATAATGTTTTCCCATCTGCTTTTTCTTAAAACATACATTACACTGAAAAATAAGTAATGATATAAAGCATCAGTAGATCCCACTAAACAACAGTTTGGAAGGAAACACGAAGTAACAAACGTGCAATAGTGACATTAGGGACAGATCAAGAAGAAAGGATGAAACCACAATGGAGTAAAGTATGCTCGTATTCAAAGAATATACGCTAATAGCCCAGGATAAGCTCAGAAGAAAGGCACAGTTAGTTAAAACAAGTTTTGGGTTACTCACCTCCAGATGGCTGTCGAGTTTTTCGGGGAGATCGTGGCTCCCTGCGATAAGGATCATTAGAGCCATACAGTTCAATAGTGCCTAGATTCAAGAGCACTGTCTTCTGGAGGTAATCAACCATGGCAATACCATTACAGTTTCCAAAAACTACTCTGGAAAAAGAGAAGTGGAAGGAAAAATGGTGCTAATCAAACGTTGGTAAAGTTTTATATTGGTATTCATTGCTGTTCAGATTTTTAAGACTTCCTAATTTTTATGAATTACCCGAAATTATGCATATTTATAAATTACTAGTTTAGAATGCAGCATTGTTTAATTGTTCTCTTGTAAAAACATGTGACACTGAGTAGAACAGATCACCTTCATTGTACTTGCCAACCTATCTGACAGAGCCTTAAATTACATTTATTCTTGGCTGTACAGTGCAATGCTGATTTGTTTCTGATGTTAGCATCATCAGGATCTGCCATGACCAAAAAGGAATCACCTTTTAAGCACAGGAGACTGATTGCTTCTTTTGTGTTGCTGTGCAGCTCATGTGAACACACATGGAGACTAATTTTTTAATAGATAATTTTAAATGACTAACAGAATAATGAAAAAACTGTGTAGAATATACTTACAGGCCGTACGCTGAGTTGATTGCTAAGCTGGTTATCTGTTGAGGAGGTTCTCCACTCACCCACACTAGCTGGATAACTAGCTCAATTTGGTAGCCTGGAGACTGCTTGAGAGGAGAATTTTTAACTCTGCAAAGTAAACATAACATGGTATCTTTTTGTGTTTTTCCAGTCTCCATTTTTTCCTTATAGGCTAAGAATTCATTAAACTCTACACCACACTGGACTTCAGAAAGCTGGAAAATTGCCAAAAAAAAAATCAATACAAATACATAAAAGCAACCAGAAAAAAAACACATTGGAACTGGTTATTCCCTTCTTTTTAAGGGCTCTTGATTCATTACCTAATTGAAAATTAATTGAACAATGATCACAAATATTTCATTTCATCCCTCTTCAGAGTAAGGCATAACAGTGTTAGCATGTTGTATTGACTTGAATAGATAAAGGTGTTCAGTGTCTAAAAGGAAAGCGTTATCAATTCTTTTCAGAGTTCCCAAAAGAACTCTGATTTAGAGAATGGAAGGGGGTGAGGGGTGCGTGTGGAAGAAGCATACTGAAAAGGGAAACGGAAGCACAATGTATTGAGACAAACGCAAACAAAAAGCTGACAATACAGTAGAAAAAAATGAAAGCAAGGTAAACTATAATGGTAGACCAGTTGTATGGAATGAACCTGGTAATGGCAGAATTGAAGCACCTGGAAAGATTTTTTTTTGCACGCTGATAAACAAACTTATCAATGTTCTGCAGAAAGGATTAGGTCTTTCATCTTTTAAGGTGAAAAAAGTTATAGAACATAAGCTCCTCCCGTTCCTGAATTCCCCTTATTTTACCCATACACTCTCATTAATGCATATTTTGGTTTGCCAGTATTTTATAAAAATTCAGAATTTTCCAACTTTTCTACTCCGTCTGGTTTTCTTTAGAATTTACTGTCTTTAAAAAGACACTTCTGCAACTCAGTACAATCAATGAGATACAAAAACTCCCACCCAGAGAAAATAACTCCATCAGAATTAGTTATTTTCTGGATGGATGCACTCAGAATTAAAATCCAAGTTGAGACCTTAAAACTTCAGAAAACAGGAAGTACGTACATATGTTAACTTTATATCTGAAAATTAAGTTCAAGGTACATTCTGTGAGGAAAAGGTGATGTACTAGAGGCCTTATAATGCTCTCTTGCAGAAGAGTAACAAGATTGTCTTCTTTTAACCTTCATTTCTCAAATGAGTAAGAGTTCACACATGAAGAACCTTAAGAAAAAAAATCTTCCAATATAAAAAAAATCAGAAAATTGTCAAAGACACACACTGCAAAGCATCATGCAAAATGAAGATCCATGAGAGTGGGACATATATTTGTTTCCTGTTCCCAAAATACAAAGTAGTTCCCTTGGAGAGTTATGAAAAAAATACGTTTATAAGCCTAAAAAGAGTTACCTTTCAGTTAGTTATTTGTAAGCATTTTCATTGCTTTTGATTTGGCTCTAAAAATCTAAGGCTCTGGAAAACTAACAGATGAAATCTATTCAGACATACTTAGCCTAAAGTTAAGGAGACACACAAAACATTAAGTTGCCTACTCATTTCAATAGACAATAAGGTTTCAAATAACTATATTGCTGCTACTGAAAATGTTTGCTCTAAAGCATGAGCTTCTACAACTATACTAACATCTATGCCAAAATTTCCTAAAGCAAGCAGCAGTCATAAGGTAAGAATTTTCAGATTTTTTTAAAAATCACTTTATGAAGTTTAAAGAAACTAAGATTGCAATATTAATTTCTTCAAACAGAACTCAACTTTCAGATATTTAGAAAGCGTTGCTCTAAGAAATAAAACATTTTACCAACAATGACATTTCTGAAATAATATCTAAGTACATATATTCTCATCACATATTCTTGTGAAGTTTCACACTCAACAAAAGTATAACAGAATATACTTACTTTAAACATGGGACATTATCACGAAGTCCGTCAGATGAACTGCTGCTAGTAGATGGATGAGACTGGGGAACAATGGATTGAGGATTGGAACCTGTGCCTGGAGTTGGTAAAGGTGGCACCTGCTCACCATCTGGAGATTCAACATCATTTATTTCATATAGCAGACGTACTTCTAGCATCTGTAAATGAAAGTAAAAAAGTTATCAGGAAATTCTGCCTTTCAAAAAACTATACACGAGAAAAATGAAATGCAACTGAAGATACGAGTGATAAAAAAGTGACGTCTACAACTTTTCCATCTTTTAAAAGATAACAGCAGTTTAATAAACACTGCCACCTACACAGACACACGTGGTCTTCAGAAATACAACACTACAAATACAATAATACAACAACTACAGACTGAATATCTGAAGATTGTAAAACTTGAAAATCTAACCTATTTCCCAATATTTAAAAGGTTGCTGCTTAATATTGGAAAGAAATTAAATAGTGGATAAAAGAACGATTTAATTATCATTCTGTGCACATAATAAAGTCTCAGTTATAAAGATGACTTGTTTTATGTAGTTCAGGAATGCTAAAACTAATACGAGCTGAAGGCATGTAGACAGCAACGCTTTATACTGTTGTAGCACCGTATGCATGGGACTTAGTTCAATGTTTAATGTTGCACTGAACTAGACCATACATTTTGAAGAACTAAGTTCATCATGATTTCAGATTTCCTTCTATTGAGTCTATAACAGTATTAGTATTAATTGTAGTGCAGTGTAAAGAAAGTTTTCTGCTGTTTTAAAACCCGAAAAAGCCAATGAAAACCAAAATCTTGGTGTGCAATTTTCATTTTTGCTGAATTTCATAATTTATTATTTTGCCTCCACGAAAATACATCTCCTCATTTCGAGGCAATTGGTTTTGTCCATTTCACTAATAAAAAGAAACAATGAAGAACTAAATTACTAGAACAGTCTTGTTATAGCTAAATCCTACAAAGTTAAAAAATGGTTATACTAATTACCGGAATGACTTCTGTTGTCACTTCCTGCTTGCTGAACCTGTAAATAATGACATGTGCAGAAACTCCAGCTATGCACAGCATTCTACTTTCTGGACACCATGAGATGATCTGAATAGCGTATGGATCTTCATCTACTATATCTGTGTTTGGCTTGTCATCTTTATTCCGTGATTTTTCAAATACTTTGGCTGTTTTTAGCTTATAGAGCACTTGCAGCGTTACTAGGAACAAACCAAAAGAGATAAAAATTAGTTTTGATCTAAACAGATATTTCTTTCTTGTTAATTTTTCTAATTCAGTAACTTCTCTTCATAGATAAAGCCACTAAATTCAGCAAAAGAGGGCAGACCAGAAGCACTGAATGTCTGTGTTGACTCTGCCCGTGCAGTGCACCACTTGCCCAATGCAGGATCAGTTAGTATATAAAAAAACCAAACACTTCTTTTCCTGAGATATATACTAAGCTTCAGTTATAAAATAAGCCCTCACAGCTTCTCAAGGCTTAACTATACTTAGGGATCTCTTTATAACATCTAGTTACATATGCCATACCCACAACTTAAGCCTACCTATGGCAGAGAAAGTGAAGCTCCTTCCCTTTCTACTTACAGTATTTCAAATCCGTGGCCTCTCACCTGTGTTCTCAGACTTAACAGCCGCAGCTCCTCCAATTTTTATTTTGTGCTGTCTGATCACTCAGAAGTGCTGCCTTCTGATCAGTCCACATTTTTCTTGATAGCACATTTCCTAAAACTGTTCTAGTGAGGCCTTGCCACAGTTTAAAATTGTGAAAGAAATACTCCATGTTGGTTTTACGGATATTCCCATTTATTTATCCCAATATCAAGTTTCTTTTTTGTGCAACACTGACACTGCAATCCATTAGGCCTCCAATTTTTTTTCCCCCAGAATATAAGTTCTGAGTGTAAATCATTGATCCTATATTCAAATAAGTGGTCTGGGATGCTATTCAATGATTAGCAACATCATTCTCAACTGTAACTCTAATTCTTACTTACATTTTCTTTCAACTGTCCTGGTGTTTCTTTCAAACTTCACAAGCATATTCTCTAGTCAATGGCCCAAAGCACTGCTACAAATACTAATCACACCATTAGGAAAACCTAATTTATATCATCCTTCTTCCATATTTCAGTGGTTTTACCTGAATCACATTTTCTTAGTTCATCTGTAAGACTGTGCTATTAGAGAGACTTAAAAGTTTTAAAATCAAGATACAGGATACTTGCAGTTTCTCCCTTAACAGGTTTATTTATCTGTTTTAGAAAGAAACTGAATGTCTTTAACAGGATCTCCTTTTGACAGATCTACACTGAAAAGAATTTTTAAGCACACAAAATCAATTAGGTTTGGGGTTTTTTTTTTGTTTGTTTGGTTTTTTTTTTTTTCCTTTTCTTCACTCCCCC